TCCTTCCCTGGTTAGATTTCTCGAAGCACCTGACGCTTCAAAATGCGGCCTTCTGCACTAGCAGTAGACAATTTTTGCGAGTTTTTTTTGTTTTGTTGTTCTTGTTCTTGTTTGTTGTTTCTTTGTCTTCCCATTTTATTGGTCTTGTACGATTTCTCCTCTAATGTACTCAAAATTTTTTCTCAAAAATCATGTGGAAGTTAGGCATATGAAAGAATCTTTAAATGCCATCTTCGAGTCCTATGATTTTTCGAAATTAAATTTAGACATTCTTTCTCCTAGATCCTTCGGATTTCCATGTGCCATGTTCGGCATCGATTACTTCTCGTCTGACAAGCATTAGCAGCACGATTAATGACCCAGCTATTGTTGAACCAGCTGTGGGGTCCTCTCAACAACTGCAGTTCGGTGCTACTAGTTGTGGGTCCTTTAATCATGAATCTTTTTTTATGTGGAGAAAAACAATTCTATTAGGCAACTTAAGCTTGCATATTTAGCATCACCAAACTTTGATTCTCTTCGATTTCATCAGATGGCTGGTCGGCATATTTCTCTCAACTCTTTGCGCAACATTGCTACACGATGTGGCAGCGAGTACACTCAAGGTTACGTATTCTCAGAGAGACCTATTCGAAATAACGAGAAGGTAGTCATTGAGGTAAGGCACTGAGCTGTACTATGGTGTTGTGTGAAGTTCCGTTCGGCTGTAGCTACGAAAAATTCAGTCGATTATATTTGATAAAATCTTTTGCACAATACTAATCCGCCATTACTTTTGATGTATAGCAAATGCACTATTGTTTTCCTGGGGCCAAAGTTCAGAAACTTTTAAGGTAGAATTTCAATCAAATTCACTTCATGCGCTATTCGTTAATTGCAAAAGTAGGCTTTCTTACAATGTGCATGGTTACTGAAATGGAACTCCCAATTTATTTCGAATGGCCGAGGCTCAGCTGGCCAAGACTCTTTTATTGCCACTTGCAATCATTGTCATGCGAGAGACGGAAAGGGATCATGAAATTCCTTGTAAATCTCGTAGTATTCGTACAGTAAACATTAAAACGATACTGAGGAGATGATTCAATCACAGACAAGACAGGAAGGGGTAGAAAATCTGGTGTTTGTAAGGACAGAACTATCAAAATATTTCGCTTGAGAGTCAATTGTGACTGGGTGACCCGTCAAAAAGATGGCAAAGGAGCACGAATTATGGAAGTTAACGGTGGCCGGATTATTAAGCAAAAACATTATCCGTTCCTGTCGTATGAAAAAATGTTGCTTCATTTCCTATCCCAACAGACAGTGTAGGGCCAAAAAAATGCAGAAAGTTGTTAACTTTCTCGGGTGTAGACACAACTCTTCATTGATCTCTCTAGATGCAAATTTAATACGAAAAAACATTTCACAACAAAAACACATGTTCTATCTGTTAACAACAAACGTGTAATTTCTCACAAAAAGTTGCTATAAAAACAGCAAAATGATGTTTTCTGAGGGAGTTACTGGCAAGGGTAGGGCCCTTGTGTTTTCGTCGGTGCCGACGTGAAAATCAACAAAGACCCGTACAAAGCATCCTGATGGACGTAACGAACACTGATGCGATTCCGCTTTCTGAAACAGCTAGTGGTCCTTCCAGCAAGACGATAATCCAGCCCACAGAGCCAAGCTCGCGAGTGGTGCCGACGCTAGCTGCCCGACTTCATTAGCATTGGGGAATAGCCATCCTACTTTCCAGATCTCAATCCATTTGACTCCTCCGTATGGTCCTGATTGAAGAGGACTCTGGTTTGCAGTCCCTTTGAAGTCCTAGAAAGCAAGAGTCAAGGACTGCTGGGAAGAGGATGAGAAGGATACCTGCGTGCAACCTGCAAGTAGTTCGAGAGCAAACTTTGGACCTCGATGCGCGCTCATGGGGAATTTTTTAAAATGTAATTATAGCATGTATTAGCACATAATGTTAGCAAACGTGCATGTAGAACATTTTAATTCTCAGCTAAGAAGCTTTAACCTATTGACGACCATGCAGTCCACATTTGGACTGCAGTTGTATTCTTTGTTTTATTCATCTAAATTCCACTTTCTTTCAACTCTTCTTCTCAAAACAATACGTCTTGCCTAATGAAACCACATCCAGCGTGATTCTGGGAAATCTTCCGATTTTGCAATTGTAAAGGTGTTTTTTCGAAGGGGTGCATTACCTTGGTGGACTTTTCGCTCGTTGAACAACTTCGAAAAATGAAATATTTTGAAATACCGTCGTCATTAACTGACCAAATGCAAAGCTTGTGAAAATTCCCCGAAACAATTTCTGGTAATGATTAACCCATAGGCGACCGCGCCTTTTACATTGTCCTTACATTAAGTTTTAATTTCTCTCAGCTGTTGTTGGAAGTGAATGGTTCCTGGACCACGATGCCTCAAGATTCTCTAGAAGGTTGTGAGCTCAGCCTATACTTGAAAAAATGAAAAAATGATAAGAGCACTTGATAAATAATATAAATATCACAGGAACACGATATGGCGTGGCCCGCCGGCGGGCCATGCTGTCGTCAATGGGTTAAATGTATTTTCATGAATTGGCACTCCTAACTCTGAGATATATATACATATATAATATATATAGTATGTGTTTACTGTGATTTCACTCTTCGATTTCTTGACTTAAGCAACGGCATCTAAAGAAGCTCTCAACTCCGGATTAACTTCTGCACTTGCTGTACAAGAGAGCTCCAGACTAATCCTTTCAAGAGTGCGTTGGGTACACTGACAGCATGCTCATCCTGCTTTCGTAGAGTCCAAGTCTCTGAGGCTTGTCAAAGCAGGTAGGACCGCAATGTCGAAAAGGCGAGCGCGGAGCCGGACATCCTTCGTCTATTTTACTACTACCTCGATATTCTCAAAAGCTCACCACGTCGCGCGTTCCCTTCTGCTCTACTCCTGCTCAGGTCGCTCATCCAGTGACTTGTCGACCGAGGTACAAGTGCAGCTAGAGCATTCAGAGATGTTTGCCCCGTTCAAAGTGATAGGAGCATCAGGTACCAAATGTTGCTCATGTTCATCGTCTCCATTAAGTTCAATCTCAATCCTATCTTTCCACAGACACTGTCATACTCTGCCAGCATTCGTTCCGCCTGCTCGATGTTGTTTGGTGTAAGCACGATGTCATCTGCAAAGCGGAGATGATATAAGTAGCGGCCGTCGACCTTCACTCCCATGCTTTCCTATTCCATATGACGCCTGATATTCTCGAGCACTGAAAAGTTTAGGCGGGAATGGTATAGCCTTGTCGAACTCCTCTCTTCACGTTGATGGTGACTTCTTTATTGGATGGCGAGATCCTGGTCGTGAAGTTGTAGAGCACCTTACATATTGAGTAAAAACACCCTGGTCGCTCAGGGCTTCAATTACCGCTCCTGTCTCGACGGTATCAAAGGCTTTCTTCAAATAGATGAACGTAAGACATAACGGCATTTTGTACTCCCGCGATACTTCAGTGAGTATTGTAACAGTGTTTATGTGATCGATTGTGCCGAACCCTCTCCGAAACCTTGCTTGCTCGCATGTCTGTCCTTCATCTAATATTCTGCCAGTCCTGTTAAGTATGACTCATGTGAAGAGTTTATCGAAGACAGCGGGCAGGTTGGGCGATAATTGGCAATGTCGTTCGGATTTCTGCTCTTGTACAGTAACATAGTCTTGCTAGTTTCCCACGACGTGGGTACTTTGCATTCCGACAGGTACCGTACCGCAGGAAGAGCCTAGCCAGAGTTATGACGATAACTGGTGAAAGACTCTTCAGCTGTTCTGGTTTGATCCTATCGGGACCGGGCGCCGTACAATTCTTTATCGACGCGATGGCATGTCGAATTTCGGAAAGGAGAACCGAAGGAGCGGTGTATTTGTCTTGCCTATGATGGTAGGTAGGCAGGTAGACGTTGCTGTCGAAATGATCCGACTAGAAGTCGTAGGTAACCTTCTCCATTGCCTTTCGAGATGTAGTAACCGTTCCGTCAGGATGATGAAGGGAAGTCATCGTGGTCTTGTAATTGGCGAAACTCCGGCGGGCTTTGCGAATGCTCTTCCCAGCCTCGGTCGTGGGGTTTTTTGGAGATCCTAAGCCGAAGTCTCCGCCTTCGTCCATAACTGCTGCTCTTCTCTCTTTCAGATCTTCTTTTATCGCTTCTCTGCTTCCTTCGCAAGTTCGGACGTTTGCTGATGATTGCCTGGAGCTCGCGCGATTACGCGCTGGCGTATCAGCTCAAGAGTCTTCGAAGAGAGTGGTCTCTTGATTCTTGTAGACTCTCTGCTTTCATAGCGCTATCGTGAAGATGTTCGACGAGCCGGTTGTATT